ATTTTCGACGAGCAATCGATTAAAAGTGGTCACAATGCGATCTGAGGGCATTTCATGGTCGAAAAATAGGTCGGATTGAAGTGAATTTTTCAACTTGCTCTATTTTCACTGAAAATGATGTTTTTCTTTCGGAAAACACGTGAAATAGACCTCTGACGACATTTTGGTCTTAGAAAACTGCAATTTTTTCGTGAAAATAATGGGAGTCCTCGAACACTTGAATATCCATTTCGTTGTCATTTTGGTCATAAAACGGCATTTTGGCATCTGAATGTACGAAATTGAACTTTTGCTCGGGGGATACATAAAAAATGCACTTTCCAGAGCTTTGGTGGTTGGGAACTAATATTTTTTAATGAAATAATTAGAATCCACAATCGTTTCAACACTCTTTTTATGGAAATTTTGAAATTTAATCATATTTAACCGCATTTTATAATGTGCAATTAGAGGAGAATGGGACTTTTTCAATGGTAGTGGAAATTAGATAGTGCGATCTCCAGAATTTGTGAAATTAGAATGCGAATGTGTTACTCAGACATACTTCTGCTAAAAATGTATTTTTCCAAATAAAAAAATGCCTTACAAAATTAGTGATATCAGATGAAAAACCTCTAGACAAGGTTGAATTGGAGTGACGCTCCGTGCGTGGATTTACCACCCAAAATGACTGATATCATATTTTGAGTGACGCTTTGACGCTGTATCATCACTACATACGAGGTTCAAAAGTATTTTTCGCATTCACTATTGTGAAAATTTACTCACAATAAGGAAAAATATCGCGTCACGACTTTTGTACGGCAAAACGCTTAAAAGCTTGACTTGGAGACTAAATTCAAAAGTCGTGACGCAAGATATTTCTCCTTATTGTAAATAAATTTTCACAATAGTGAATGCGAAAAACACTTTTGAACTTCGTACCCAGTGATAATACAGCGTCCTAGCGTCACTCAAAATGATATCAGTCATTTTGAGTGGTGAATCCACGCACAGGGGCGTCACTCCATTTTAACCTCGTCTAGAGGTTTTTCATCTGATATGGATAGAGTACAGGATAATTCCTGTAGGTGAGTGTCACAATTTATTAGCATATTGAATATTGATTCATGATCATTTTTATATCATCCTAATTGATTTGTTTTTACTGTTCTTTTTTTACTTCCATTGTGACGTTTAAAACGACTGAAACTACACACAAATGCGCAAAGAAATTCAATACTTATGGTGGAAGTTTCGATCCAATAAGCAGTATATTTCTCGCTTTCCCCTCAAAAAGTAGGATATAGAACAAAACACTGGTTATACCTTTTGATTTGAGAGTTAGTTTGACCTTTTATTTTGAACATAGATGCAGGTTCAATACACAATGGTTTTTAAAGCAACGTAATTTCATTCTGGAATAAATGAATTTAATTCGATTTGACTATAGTCTCCTAAAAATGTGTCGGATCCAATATTTACTCTATAAAATTAATTTGAATCATTAGAATCAGCATGGGTCAAATGTCTTTCTCGTAAATTGTTTGTCCGAGTTCAACAATTATTTTAGATCATTTTTTGGGATATTATATTGATTAGCATCTGACTGGCTTCAGTGAAGTGTCAATTTATTTGAATATTTCAATAATTTACTTCAATGGTCATTTTTATTCACATTAACAAGTGTGACTCGAGTCAATTCTGTACAAAAAAAATCTTATAAAATCATTTTGCTTATGATTATTATTTTCCTATCTTATCGATAAATGTCTTCCTGCAAATTTGTAGCATACTATTAAATAACAAAATTGATAAATGGTCATATTTCTCAGCAAAGAAAATATTCGTTTGCCAACGTTCACAACAATTGAAATATTTACATTTAATATAATACTATTAAAAAAATTTCAACTCAAATACGATCAATTGTTTCTATTTAACAATATTCAAAATCCAAGGCGTAAACTTCGATATTCGGGTGCAAACACCAGGTAAGTTAGCTTCGGCACAACCAATTCCCCAGCTTATAATTCCTGAAAAGGCATGTAAAAAAAGAAGAATGAAGGTACGATAAAAGCTTAAAATCATTTTGAAATGATACAAACTGGCTATTTTAAACAATTTTACCATATCAAATCAAACCTATTCATATAGGGCTAATCTTCAAACTAGGGGATATCTGTATGTACGCATATTTTTTTCCACAACCATTTCGTGTAAGAAAAGAATTGATCTCGCCCCAGATTTTTTGGCTTCTTAACCCTCGTAAGGACACCCATTTTAAAACCTTCGAACGGACCCCTCGGGTCTGGTTGGACCCGTATACATTTACATGCATTTGTATGGAAATTAGGTATGCATGCCATCTCATTTTTCGCGAGACTGATAAAAGATAAGTGATATATCTCTTCAGCAAAGTTGTAGATCAGGTCAAGAGCTACAATCTTTCAAAGATGTCATTTCCTTATCTCTTATCAGTCCCACGAAAATTGATAAGAAAAAACTGAAAATTTCCGTGGTTTTTTTGCGTATTTGATAAGAGATAACGAATTAGTGTCTTGGGCAAAGTTGTAGTACTCAACCTGCTTATTAACTTTGCTTATGATAGTAATCACTTATCTCTTATCAAGACATTTGTACAAAAAAACTGTAGCTCTTGACCTGATCTACAACTTTGCTGATGAGATATATCACTTATCTTTTATCAGTCTCGCGAAAAATGAGATGGTATGCATACTTAATTTCCATACAAATGCATGTCAATGTATACGGGTCCAACCAGACCCGAGGGGTCCGTTCGAAGGTGTAGTTTTTGTATATCCTTATATCATCCATTTTAAGGACTTTTTGTAATATTTGTTTTGCTAGATCGGTGGTCAATGAAATTTCAGGCAGACAACTTGAAACTCAAGTCGCTAGCTAAATCAGAAATATGTTAAATTAACGATCAAAAATGCAAAAGGTCTGGCTGGACCCAGGGGTCCTTCCGGGGGTTAAAAATCAGTTTTATTTTTGATTTTTGAACTCCGATGAGGGTGTCAAACGGACACGGACAAAAAAAAATTTGTCCGAATTTAGCTGTCCGTCCGTTCGAACATGATGAACAATTGTCCGAATGTCCGAACATCATGTTTAGACGGACATAGAGTCCGTTTGTCCGTCCGAATTCGGACACAATGTTTTTTTGAAATTTGTTGAATTTTTTCTTGGAAAATTTGCCTTTAAAACCATTCGAAAATGTCCGTTGGACATTCAAATAGTATTTTTTTGTGGAAAACTTTGAAAATTTTGAAAATTTTGTCTCAAAAAATGTTACGGACACGGACAATCAACTAACTGTCCATCCGTCCGAACATGATGTTCGGACATTCGGAAAATTGTTCGGATGTCCGAATGATTATGCTATACATAAGGAAGAATGGTTGAGATTTTTGGTGGATTTATTGTTTACGTGGAATTTTGATTATTTTTTGTAATGATGTGGGACAAAAACGGTAAAAAAAATATTATTATTATATTTTCACTGCCTTTATTTCAAGAAAATTCACAAAAAATAACCAAAAGTACATACGGACAACGCAGGCCAACGGTACGGAAAAGTTCGGGATTACCAATGTAATTCTTTTTATTTGGGAGAAAAATAAGATTATGAAAGTTTGAAGTCAATCGGAGTCGATTTACGCATACAAAATTGTCGAAATTTCGACTAAAATTACCGATTTTTCGTAAATCGATTCCTATTGGCTTCAAATTTTCTGGGATTTCATTTTTTGGAGAAAAAGTAAGATTCTGAAAGTTTCATGTTGATCGTGTTTGCAGAAGTTTGATTTTTTGTCCTCAATTTTTGTCGAAATTTTTTTGGAAAAAATTGAGGGCCAAAAACCAAACTTCTGCAAATGCGATCAACATGAAACTTTCAGAATCTTATTTTTTCTGTAAAAATGAAACCTTAGAAAGTTTAAACCCATAAAAAAACGGTTTACGGGTGCCTCCCAAACAAAATTGTCGAAGTTTTGACTAAAGTGACCGATTTTTCACTTTATTTTTATTATTATATTTTCACTGCCTTTATTTCAAGAAAATTCGCAAAAAATAACCAAAAGTACCTACGGATAACGCAGGACAACGGTACGGAAAAGTTCGGAATTACCAATGTAATTCTTTTTATTTATTTAGTAATCGTCAGAAGATTTTCGTTCACTTATCGCGACAGTAAATAAAGTGAATATAATTTGGCGTTGATTTGTTCTAAGCTTCAAAGCATCTATATATTATCTACAAGTTGAAATAAAATCGAAAGAAATGTAATTCTTGTGACTTACCAGCCAAGAAGTAATGTCCATCTATTCCTTTCACCTATAACGAATAAGTTCTTTATTAGATTGAACAAATTGAAAGTTATCGTAAATCGAAGAATCAGCATTTCATTCTAAATTTCAGTTCAAAGTTATTTGCATAGTTCATGCCCTTACCTGCAGTGGTCCACCGCTATCACCTTGACATACATATTTAACGAAATAAAAAGTTAATAATATTTATTAATATAATGCAATTAAAATCCATAAGATATCGAAATTTAACAATGATTTCAATGATATTTTTTATCATTAATTCCCCCTCCTCATTAACGTTATTTAGTATCAAGATTCCCTAACAATGAATGCGTCCAGTATTATGAACTATAATCTATTTAACTCTTGAATAATTTCAAATTTGGCGTGACACTTTGTTTTTTACACTGCGACTATTAAGTTTACATTAGTAAATGGATGCGTTATCATGTGATCAGGTGTTGTTTTGTGATATAGTACAATATTACTTTTCCATACACAACGTGTCAAGGGAAAGTATAGGAATTGGTCCCGAAAACTTTTTTCGTAAAATTAGCTTAGATCATCATGAAAATTCATGAAACGCGTAGAAAACCACTTTTTGAGACACTTTTCCGTTCGTGTGCCGTCGTCGTTGTCGTTGTCGTTGTCGTTGTCGTCGTCGTTGTCGTTGTCGTCGTCGTTGTCGTCGTCGTTGTCGCCGTCGTAGCTGTTTGTAAACACGATAACTCAAAAAATAATTGGGACAATCAAAATCTGGAAATGCTAAAAGTTTTGTATTCAAAAAACTTAGTTGTTCGAAGATGAGCCATTTTCGATTTGATCCTGGGGTACTTGCCCTAAGAAAAACCTCAAAAAATTATTATTATTATTCTGCACCATACAGCGTTTCTTCGCCAGAGGTGGTTTATTTGGTATACAGTCTGTCTAGTTATAGACGATAAGGGAAAACGATGTTCAAATTTGAATATATTTAAATAGGCTTTTTGGTGTGGTCAGATGCGACTCTAACCTCGGTCGCAAACTGCATTTGACAGATGTAAAGTCACATTGGTGCTCTTATTTTAATTGAAAACATGAATTCGGAATACTATACTAAACGTTTTGAAGCAGTTTTCCTGCATTTGCATCCACGCGGGCCAAAATTATCGCTTACAGCGACCGCCCGATACATAAAAAAGACGGTGCCATTCGTCCAGCGTTGGGTAGATCAATATAAACGTGAAAAAAATGTGAACGACCAGCCAAACATTAAGCCCAACCGAGCATCCACGCCGAAGCAAGATCAGCATATTGCTAAGGTTTTCGATCAAAACCCAGGTTTGTCGTTGCGTCAGGGGGTACAACGACTAAGTCGATCAAATATCAACGTTTCAAGAGAGACACTGCGAAAGAGATTAGGTAAAATGTCGTTAAAGTATCGCTCCACAATGAAAAAACCTCTTTTGAAACCAGAACATATCGAAAAACGACTACAATGGGCAACCGAAAATTTGGACACTGATTGGAGCAAAGTTATATACACAGATGAATCATCGTTTTGGTTGTCGAATTCCCTCACCCATACTTGGTGCACACGCGAAAAAAGAACGGTGGTTCGCACGGTTAAGCATCCGCAAAAGGTGCATGTGTATGGAGCCTTCTGTGAAGCCGGTTTTGGTAAATTAACCGTGTTTACTGGAATCCTAGAGAAGTATCGAATGCGCCAGTTGTACAAATCGACATTGCTCCCCACCGCCAAGAAGTTCTATGGCAACGATACGTCGAAATGGATTCTACAAGAAGACAACGACCCAAAACACAAAAGTCGTTTATGTACTGCTTGGAAAGAGGAAAATGGGATTCAACAGATGGATTGGCCGGCTCAATCTCCAGACTGCAATCCGATTGAAAACGTTTGGTCCATCATGAAGCAGAGACTCAAAGGCAAACATATTCGAAGCACAAAACATCTCACTTTGTTCTTGAAGCGCCAGTGGGACAGCCTTTCGCGAGAATATGCTGAAAATTTGAGCAAAAGTATGCCTTCACGCTGTGCCCGTGTTATCGAAAAACAAGGCGAATGGATTAACTATTGAATTGTTTGCGACCGAGCTGAAGGCTCAATAAAAATATCTCGAAAGAGAAATTTGAAAAATTCTTGTGTTTTCACTTAGATATCCCTTATCGTCTATAACTAGACAGACTGTAAATATTTGGTTGCATATTTACAATATTTTTAATGTATTCATTATTTCTTTAGTTTCTCCAAGTTCTAATTCTTCTAAAATAATCGGTTATTCTCTGTTTGACAGTATCTGTACTAACATTAAAATCAATTAAATAGGTATCACAAATTGGAATAGTACTAGTATCACATTCATTCGATCGATAAGGCGGTTTGATAGGGACAAAATACTTATAAAATTCATTGTATGTGGTTAACATGAAATTGATCGGTTCAAACATTGAGTAGTTGCATATTTTAATCGGCAGTGACAGAAATTCAGTGTTTCGTGTTCGATGTCGTGGCGTTCTAAAGTTGATTTTTTCCATGATATACTTTGATGATAGTTGGCCACAAATAACGTTGTGAATGAAACAAATTTGTGCTATTTTTCTTCGTTCCTCCAAGGTAATCATTTGTAGAAATAGCAGACGATTGTTGTATTGTGGCAAAATGAATCTGTGTGGCCATTGCATCTTTCTCAGTGCAAACAGTAGAAATTGCTTTTGGACTGATTCGATTCTAGCAATTTTCTCATTGGTGTGTGGGTTCCATATTTGCGATGCATATTCAACGATTGGCAATACGAACGTAAAGAAGAGCTTCTTTATGGTCCACGGGTCATTGAAATCTTTTCCAAAACGCTTGATCCACGCTAGTCGAGATTTAGCTTTAGCTGTTATGTATTCGATGTGTGCGCTAAAGTTTAGTTTCTCATCCAAAATGGCTCCAAGATCTTTCATCACTTTTACTCTGTCGATCGACTTGCCTTCAATAGTGTACTTGAAGTCAAATTTCAGCTCACCACGGTGATATGATACGTAATTCGTTTTTTTGACGTTCAAGTTCATGCGATTACGTTTGAAATAATCAACAACTCCATTCAAGTCGGCCTGAAGTGCCAAGCAGTCATCATGTCGCTTTATTTGCATTGAAAAACGAGTGTCATCGGCAAACGATTGCAAGTTAGAGTTGACTATGCAATGGGGTAGATCAATAATGAACAGGACAAACAGTGTCGCTCCAATCGGGTATCCCTGACCTGTTCCTGATGTTACTTCGATGGGATTTGACATGGCTCCAGTAAATTTCACTATTTGTTGACGCTCACTTAGATATGATTTTATCCATTTCAGTACTTGCTTATTCAATCCCATAATTTTCAGCTTGTGTATGAGTAGGTTCAAGTCAACCGAGTCAAACGCTTTAGCAAGATCGAGATATATTGCATCAGTTTGAGTTCCATGTTGCATGTTGACTAACGGTTGTGAAGTAAATTCAGCCAGATTCGTGACTGTTGACTTTCCTTTGACAAAGCCATGTTGGCTGTCATCGATGATGTTCCTCATGTGATAATTCAAATGATTTGCCACTATCGAGTCCAACAGTTTTGGTATTATGCATTGTAGTGCCACTCCACGATAGTTCTCAATTTTATATTCAGCTCCACTTTTGTGCACAGGTCTTACATAAGAGCGTTTCCATGTGTTCGGTACATAACCAGAATTTAACGATTCACGCAATATGTGTGTTATTGGCTTCAGCAGAGCCATGAAACCGAACTGTCAAACTACAACGGGGACCGCGTAGTCGGTTGTCATTCGTTGCGGAACGCGCTAAAAGTATGCATAAGTACATGAGTACATATTTCAAGCATTCTGGTTAAAAAATATTTCAATTATTTATAAAAATATACCTAGTGTATTAATATGAAAACCCATTTTTAATAACATTTTAGAAACGTTTGAAAAAATACCGAAAAAGAATATGAACTTTCTTTTTTTTTGCTCAGAAATTCTTTGCTAACATTTTTCTTGTTTTTGATTGACAAAGTGAGGTTAAGTATCTACTGAGTTCAATGTGTAGAACAAATTTGTGCACTCGGTGGAACAAAGCCATTGTGTGTTTAAGGAGCCACTTTATTCCCATGGCTCCTGAAACACATTTTCAAGCTCACTTTGTAGGAAGCGAACGTAAAAAATGAGAAAATTGAATTAATTGATTTCAAAATTCATTTGAACATCAGCAAATCTAAAGAAAACTTAGATAAATATGTTCATGTTGGAAACATTTTTCTAAATTTGATAATGTGGATGTGTCATCCAAATCATTCATTGCATTTAAATAGGAAATAAAGAATTGTTTCTAATAATTTTACACAAATATTCATTTTCCACTTGATTTTATCATTTTTATTCACTCCATGAATAATATACGTTCACGAAAATACGTTGTCTTTTTCAATAGTTCAAATTCAACGAGTCGTTCTACGAAGGTGCACTTAAGACTGTCTGGCGTGTATTTAATTTGTACTTTATTCTGACAGCCGCGTTGTAATTGATGATGACAGTTCGGTTTCGCCCCTCTGGGCTTCAGCAATGTGTGAATGCAGTTTTTGATGAACATATTCGGTATTCCGTCGGGACCAGACACCAAATTGTTTGGTAAATCGTGGATTTTTTCCATAACCAATTCCTCAGTGATATTGATACGTGGGAAATTTGTACATCGGTCAATCAATATCGGATCATTTTCATCATAGCTTGCTTCGGATCCATCAATCGGTTGTGTATATGCTTTTCCAAAGTGTGTTGCGAATGAATTGGCAATTTCGTATGGGTCGGAGCATTTTTTGCCATCATATTCCATTTCATTTGGAAGATCGTTATTGGTATTATTGCATGTTCTGACATACTCGAAGAATTTCTGTGGATCCTCATTTATCAATTGTTCCATTTCGAGTTTGCAGTTTCTAAAAGCAGAACGAGATTTCTTTTTATACTCACGACGTAGTTCAGCATGATTTTTTCTCGTTTCATCGGTCGTTTTAAACTTCTTCATTTTGTGCAGTGTATTTACTCTGTTTTTCAAATTGATCAGTTCACTATCGAACCACTTCGGATGAATTTGTTGTTTCTTCGTTTTCGTTTCAACAGTCGTATCAACTGCAGTGTTAACTATTGCGTAGAACTGATCAATTGCATCGTTTAAATCCATTGCGTTGAAAACATTGTTCCAGTTGGCATTATCGAAAAAATTATTGATCGATGTGTAGTCAGCATGTTTGAAGTCTTTGTATGTAATCACATCATCAGATTTGCTGTCAATTTTATCATGGATGACTACTTCGAGTGCTTGATGGTGTGTTTCATTTTTTGCTATGTTACTTTTGCTCATTTTGCATGTGAACATGTTGGGCTCATTCGTCCATAGCAAATCCAACATTCGTTTGTTTTCATTGTGGTGAGTACATATTTGAAACAATCCCAGCTCGTGGCAAGTATCGATGACAATTTTCTCTTTTTCGCTTACTACATTTACTGCAACCGCTACTTCTGGATACGGCTCAAAATTGATATCAGGATCATGAGCATCATTGGTGCTGCATGTGTACCAAATCAGATTGGGC